CCTCATCCTCATCCTCATCTACCCCCACCCAGTTGATAAGGTTTCCAGGTTCTTCCTAATTCCCATCATCCGGTGGCCGATCTTAATCTGCAACTGTTTTTAGATTCTTCTACTCTATTATGTGTTTTATGATTTCGATTTGAAAGCTGTTTGTTAAGAGACATCGATTGATGGTTTAATTTCAACGTTTTTGTGAAAGATCTTCATCCACAACGGTTTACAGGGTTCCTCTTTCTCTTATATGCTATACGTGCGTTGATTTCGATTTCAAAGCTGTTTGTTACGGTATCGATAGATAATTTTCGATTTCAAGGCTGTTTGTTAGGCTTCGGTTTCAATTTTGATTACAAAGCTGTTTGTTACGGCATCGATCGATAATTCGACTTCCAGGCTGTTTGTTAGGCTCCGATTCCGATTTTAAAGCTGTTTGTTACGGCAATGATCCATAATTTCGATTTCAAGGATGTTTGTTAGGCTAGATCCTTCAGGTTCTTCTTCTCGAATGTTGAACAAACGGTTTTTTTCAAGCATCTTCTATGCTTGAGGATGTCGAGGTCAAAGCTAGTTGTTAGTTTACGTTTGAGTTGTTGGTTTATGGTCGAGAGAAATTATGATTAGGTAGCATGTAAAATATTGACTCTCAAGCTATTTGATACGACAGATCAATATGGTGATCGGTTGAAGATGTGAGAAATTTTGAGTAGATATTAATGTACAAGCGGTTGATGACAACGGATTTCAGGTTCTTCATCTTCTATCTTCAATGATAATTATATTAGATTATGACAAATCTATCAGGTTATTGGTTCATTGGTGCGCGAATTTGTTAGTAAAGGGTTCCAGGTTCTTCTCGTATCTTATACCTTTGATGATAATACGATATCAATAAGCTATTTGTTAGAGCAGATCAAGTGGGTTATTGGTCCGTAGGTGGGAGAAACTATGACGAAGTTATATTCCAAGGCATTCTCGATAAATCCAGGTTCTTCTGTTACTTCTCTTTGGTAATAGCTTGTTAACTGTCAGGGTTGCGGTTCTGTAGGTGTGCGAACTCGTGGTTGGATACATTCGAGGTATAATTTTGATGATTGTTTCAGTTGTAAAGCTATCTGTTATGGCAGAACGACAGAGACTGGTTATGCTTTTGATTGGTTAGCATCATAAATTGTTTTTACAAGAATAATGACCAGGCGCATGTATTTATGGCTGTTTGCAGTGGGATCCGGTTGTAGTGGTTATTGTGGGTTTTCTTCATTGGAGTAAGAATTACTTGACCGTTGGTTGTTCTCTTTTGTCGGCTCTTATTCAATTTGTTTTTGGCATCACAATGAAGTGCAGTTCGATAATTTTGTGTGTTCAGGGTTATATTGGCTGTTGAGAGACAGCTGGCAGTTGGTTCATCGTTCCGTAGCAATTGGATGGTTATATCCGAATGCTCCTTACTACCTTGGTTACTTTATTTTTGTGCCTCTCTCTAAAATTCAATTGTTCTGTTTATGGGTAGATAGTTGCGTTACCGGTTTCTTTATGCTTGCATGATCATTTATGAGGTTAGTCATTGTTTTCTTATAGGTCCAAATTTCTGCTAATTGTCTTGGTTGATCATCATGATTTATATTTCTGTTCGTAGTCTCCTGATATATTTGTTCTCTCTCAGCTCACATCCTATTGATTCTGGGCTCTGGCTAGGGGAAGGGGTTATACTTGTTCTCTTTGTTGATAGGTACTAGAAAGCTGTGTTGTGGTTATGTTTGTCCTTGAAGCTGTCTAGGGTTTTTCATTCATTTGGTGACCATCTTATCTTTTTTGCTTTCATTTTCCCCTCTTAAGGTTATGTGGCTGAATAGAGAGGTTGCATGTTGATTAACGACATGTGTTCTTTATACCTGTGGTGGAAAACCTCAAATGGTTTCTCACAGAATGTTTTTAGGCCAGACCTTTATCCTTGATGGTTTTCAGGATCTTCTTTTCGCAACTTGGACAAACAGTTCCACAGGTCTCTTTCGTATTTTACGATCTGTAAGCTATTTGTTACTGCATTGAACAAGTTTGATTCGGAAGCTGTTTGTTACATCATCGACCAACATTCAGATTTTTGAAGAAGTTTGTTAGGACAGATACATTTACCCACGACACCCATTTGCTTTCAGGTTCTTCTTTTATCTCGGACAAACTGTTTTGGAGTTCTTTTTCTAGTATGTTCTGTACTTGGTAATGGTGAAATTTGAAAGCTCTTTGTTATGGCATACCTTAGTTTTCCTTGATCATGGATTATCAAGGAGTATATGCTAAATGGTTCCAGGCTCTTCTTGTGGCATCTTCTTCTGTTAGGTAATTAGGTGATAAGCCATGGCAGATCGTAGGTTATGTGTTCATAGATGCGAGAAATTATGATAGGATCTCATCACTCAAGTGGTTTGTCGGCAGATTTCCGGTTCTTCTACTGGTATTTCTATATCGATAGTTATGTTTCAATTGCGAACTTATTTGTTATGGCAGATCCATCAGGATACTGGCTTGTAGTTGTGTGAAATTATGAGTAGACCTCTGAAGGAGATCTTGGTAACAGATTCAGGTTCTTCTCATATATTCTTCCGTTGATGACAATTCAATTTCTATTCGAGAGCTATGTTATGGCATTTAATCTGATTACTGGTCCGTGGGTGGTAAATCTGTGACTAGATACTATTTGTGAAGGAATTCTTGATAAATGATCCCCAAGTAACTTCTATATTCGATAATAACTTGTTTTGATTGCAAAGCTGTTCGTTTTTGGAGAACACCTGGGTCGCTCTGTTGGAGCTGCAAGAAGTTATGGCCGGGTAATGTCATCAAGGAATTTGTTGGTATGATGCATTATTTGAAGATCTGATAATCAATTTCTGTTTGAAGTTACCTGTTATGAAAAAATGACGAACAATTTTTTCGTAACCCTGCAGATCCACTCTTTTTCCTATTCAAAAGAATACAAAAAATTGACAAATTGGCTCATGAATTATGGCCAACAAACAGTACGAGCCGCAAGGTATATTGGTCCCACGATGGATTTACAGATTGTACTTAAACTTTAACGAATAACTAATAGATTTCCTTTCTTTTTCTAGATTGGAATCCCTAAAAGAGGTCCGAGTACTCTACCGTTGAGTTAGCAACCCAAATAGAAAAAGGGAATAATTTATTAAAAAAAATAAATTTGGGAGTTAGTGGTTACTTGTTTGACACATTCTCGTTTAAAAATTGGTTTGGAAGAACTCACGACCAGGTTTTTGTATCTATGGCTGTTTGCAGTGCAATAGGACTGATTTGACACATTCTCATTTAAAAATTGGTTTGGAAGAACTCACGACCGGGTTCTTGTATCTATGGCTGTTTGCAGTGCAATAGGACTTATTTGACACATTCGCATTTAAAAATTGGTTTGGAAGAACTCACAACCAGGTTCTTGCATCTATGGCTGTTTGCAGTGCAATAGGTGGTCTGGTCCCTGTGGTATTTTCTTAGCTTGGAGTATTACTTGATGGCGGCTGTTTGCTGTACAATAGGTGGTCAGGTCCTGTGGTATCTTCATAGGTAGGAGTACTACTCGATAGTCGGTTGCTCTTTTTCATCACCTTTCATACAATCTTTTGTATCACAATTAAGAATGATTAGATCATTTCTTGTGTTTCTAGGGTATTGTTGGTTGTTGAGGGACAGTTGGACATCGGTTCATCATTATGTAGTAATTGGATGGTTCTATCTGATATTCTTTTTCTAACCTTTGTCACTTCTCCTGGACTTTATGGTCCTTGCCTGATTATTTAATTAAGCTACTTGTTATTTGTTTGTAGGTCTAAATTTGTGCTAAATGGCTGCTGGTTTGATCATCACTATCTCTATTGCCAGTTTCTGTAGATTGCTGATATTTGAATATTGATTTGGATTCTTCCAACTTCGATGCTGGTGGGGGAAGGGTTATGCTTTTTTTTTTGTTGATAGGACTAGGAAGCTTCTGACTGGTGATGATTGTCCGTTGTATGCTGTCTAGCATTCTCCCGATTCGTGACAGTATCCTGACCACAACCTTCTATTGCTGCCATCTCACCACTAGTCGGTCATTGGCACTTCCCTGAGATTGTTCTTTCTGTTCTCTCGTTTCTGAATTGCAATCGAGTATAAGCTTGCATGATGAGAGATGACTGTATGTTTGCTTGGTGCCAAACACCGTAATCCATGTATACTGTTTTTGTATAATACGTGTGATCGCCTTTTGATTTACAATTATTTCTTTCTACATCTTCCCATTATCTTGAGACCTCTATTTGCTTATTTGCTATTAGGTCTACCAAAGCGTTTGCGCCAATTGGACAATTGTCTTTCCTGGTTTGTTGCCTTGTGTGGTGGTGGTTCTGTGAATCCTGTGGACGTTTATGAAAAATGGAAGTAAGCATCCTTTTAGTTTTGTGCGATACCCTGGGGTAAAAGATGGAAGATGAACTATAACCCATAATCTTTTAATTATTTTTATCTTAGCGGAATTTGAAGCACCTAACTTTAGATTCATCACACATCAATTTAGCCTGGTCTCATAGTTTTTCTTTTTTGTCAGTTCTCCATATTGCAAATGGTAGGTCGTCTTCCTAGCGGGCCAAGACTTTGTGGCTTGGCATCAGATGTCTTGGTCCATCTCTTTACGTGAAATCTACCTTCCTCTCGTTTATACTTGCCTTCTTTTTTCCTTAGTTCATTTTTTCTGTGTGTCAAGAGATGTAAGGATACACTTCTTTCATCGCAGGTTCAGACAACTGAGAATGAACAGATCTTCCTTATCAGCTTTTCTTTCTTGCCGCTGTTTTTTCCATCCATTGATTTCTCAACTTCCTTTGTGTATGCTTGCGTGATTAGTTTGTGTTTGTATGTAGGTATTGTTGATACACCATGGTCCAACTATCAAGATCACCATTTGCTGGTTTCTATATAATTCTTATTGTTGTCCTTTGCTTTTGCATTATTGGTTTTCATGTTGGTGGTCTTTGTGTATGCTTGCGTGATTATTTTGTGTTTGTATGTAGGTATTGTTGATACACCATGGTCCAACTATCAAGATCACCATTTGCTGGTTTCTCTATAATTCTTATTGTTGTTCTTTGCTTTTGCATTGTTGGTTTTCATGTTGGTGGTCTTTGTGTATGCTTGCGTGATTAGTTTGTGTTTCGTATGTAGGTATTGTCGATACACCATGGTCCAACTATCAACATCACCATTTGCTGGTTTCTCTATAGTTCTTATTGTTGTCCTTTGCTTTTGCATTGTTGGTTTTCATGTTGGTGGTCTTTGTGTATGCTTGCGTGATTAGTTTGTGTTTCGTATGTAGGTATTGTTGATACACCATGGTCCAACTATCAACATCACCATTTGCTGGTTTCTCTTTAATTCTTATTGTTGTCCTTTGCTTTTGCATTATTGGTTTTCATGTTGGTGGATCTTCAACTTTTCTTTCTTGCCGCTATTTTTTCCTTCCATTGATTTCTCAACTTTCTTTGTGTATGTTTGTGTGATTGGTTTGTGTTTCGTATGTAGGTATTGTTGATACACCATGATCCAACTATCAAGATCACCATTTGCTGGTTTCTCTATAATTCTTATTGTTGTCCTTTGCTTTTGCATTAATGTTTTTTAGTAGTCACGGGTTCATTTATGTTGCCTCTGCTGAATGATGTACATTCTGTAGGTCCCTTGTGTTGGACATCGGTACCTGCTGTTATGGAGTACCTGTGTTTTCTATTCGAGATTTCTTTTCTTTCATATTATTATTTTTTCTCTTTAACATATATGCAACGATAATTTTTCATTCCACAGGTTTTGACTGAGCTGAGGATGATTGCTAGTGAATCATTGGCACTTGTATCTTTGACCGTAACACTATCTTGTTTATTGTCTCAACTACAATTGTGTGTGAACTTGCATGATGTGATTGTATTTTGTTTGTAGGCTTGTTTGGTGTCGAGATCGGTCTGATCATTAAGATCACCATGTGCAAGGTTTCTTGCATGGTTCTTATGATCGGTTTTATTTTGTTTAACGTCATTCGTTTTTTTTGCCTGTCAAGCTATTTGATACGACAGATCAATATGGTTATCGGTTGAAGATGTGAGATTTAGAGTAATTACTGTACAAGCAGTTGATGACAACGGATTTCAGGTTCATCTTATATCTTCATCTTCGATGATAACTATATTAGATTATGACAAATCTATCAGGTTATTGGTTCGTTAGTGCTTGGAGTTGTAAGGATTCCAGGTTCTTCTTGTATCTTCTACCTTTGTTTATAATACGATTTCGATAAGCTATTTATTAGAGCAGATGAAGTGGGTTATTGGCCCGTAGGTGGGAGAAACTATGACGAGGTTATGTTCCATTCTCGATAAGTTCAGGTTCTTCAGTAACTTCTTTTTGGTAATAGCTTAGTAACTGTCAGGGTTACGTTCCTGTTGGTGCGAGAACTTGTGGCCGGGTATCTCATTGCAGGTACTCATTATGAGGTGATTTGGTGATGAATTTCAGTTGTAAATCCTGGAATCTTCTACCTTTGTTTATAATACGATTTCGATAAGCTATTTATTAGAGCAGATGAAGTGGGTTATTGGCCTGTAGGTGGGAGAAACTATGACGAGGTTATGTTCCGTTCTCGATAAGTTCAGGTTCTTCAGTAACTTCTTATTGGTAATAGCTTAGTAACTGTCAGGGTTACGTTCCTGTTGGTGCGAGAACTTGTGGCCGGGTATCTCATTGCAGGTACTCATTATGAGGTGATTTGGTGATGAATTTCAGTTGTAAAGCTATCTGTTACGGCAGAACGACAGGTTCCCGGTTATGCTTTTGATATGTTAGCATCAAGATTGTTTTTACAAGATGACCAAGGGCATGTATTTTTGGCTGCTTGCAGTGGGATCCGGTTATACTGGTCATTGTGGGTTTTCTTCATTGGAGTAATACTTGAATGTTGGTTGCCTTTTCTCTTATTCAATTTGTTTGGCATTACAATGAGGTGCAGTTGGTAATTTTGTGTGTGTTATAGTGGGCATCGCGATTAGTTCTGTGTCCTACTACAGGTGCCGTGACAGTCGAGGCGTTTTCTTGATTCATAGCTCCTGTAAAAAAACTTTAGCCGAGGGATGAAGAAGAGATCTTTAAATGAAACTAGGCCTATTGGTAGTTGAGAGACAGCTGGCTGTTGGTTCATCATTTCTTAGCAATTAGATCGTTATATCTGATCTTGTCTGCTCTTGCTACCTTGGTTACTTTTAACTTTTGCCTGCCTTGTGAGGCTTATGGATTTAGTAGTATTGCTTATGTGTTGATAGCTGCGGCATTTTGTGGGTTTCGTTGTGCTTGCATGATCATTTATGAGGTTAGTCATTGTTTTTATTGTAGAACTAAATTTGGGGAGAGGTGTGTTGATCATTGTCCTTGATACTGTGTAGGGTTCTCATTCATTTGGTGACGATCTTATCTACAGCTGTTTGTCGCTTTCGTTTTACCTCTTAAGGTTGTGACCAAATAGAGAGGTTGCATGTTGATTCAGGACACTGGTGGTTGGATCCGTGCCCTTGTTCTTTCGGTGAAAAACGATGCCTCAAATGGTTTTACTTTGGGTAAATGGTCTCAAATTCTTCAAATTTGAAGTTAATGGTTTTGTCAAAAAGGTGTTTCTTATACTGCATCAGATGATGACAGTTTCAAAGCTGTTATTTGGGTTGTGGTAGAATTGATGTCTATTTCTATGGCCGGTTACGTATTTTTCACAAATAAGTTCCATATTCAGTTCGGATATTAGAGGCCAGATCTCTATCCCAACGGTTTTCAGGATCTTCTTTGTAACTTGGACACGGGTCTCTTTTGTATCTTATTGTGTGTTGATCTGTTACCGCATGAGCAATGAGTTTGAGTTGAAAGCTGTTTGTTATATCACCTACTGAGATTCCGGTTTAAAAGTTGCTTTTGTGAGGCCAATATTTATGTCCACACCTGTTTGTCTTCAGGTTCTGTTATCTCGGATAAACTGTTCTCAGGTTGTTTTTCTAGTATCTTGTGTATGGTAATAGTGAAACTTGAAAGCTCTTCATTACGACATAACTTAGTTTTTTCGGTCGTGGATTATTGAGGTCATGCTAAATGGTTCCAGGCTCTTCTTGTGGCATCTTCTATTAGGTAATTAGGTGATAAGGATCAATAGGGTTATGTGCTCATAGATGCGAGAAATTATGATCAGATATCATCATTCAAGTGGTTCATGTCTGCAGATTTCAGGTTCTACTGGTATTTTCTATCGTCAGGGATTTTGTTTTATTTGTGAACTTATTTGTTATGGCAGATCCATCAGGATACCGGTTTATAGTTGTGTGAAATTATGAGTAGCTTGCTCCTGAAGGAGATCTTTGTAACAGATTCAGGTTCTTCTTGTATTTTTTTTCTTTGTTTTATTTGAAAGCTATTCGTTATTGCATATTAATCTGGTTATTGGTCCGTGGTGGGAGTATCTGTGACTAGATATTATTTTTCAAGGAGTTCCTGATGAATGATCCCACATTCATCTGGTTCTTTACCCAATAATAATTTGTTTTGATTGCAAAGCTATTCGTTTTGGGAGAACAGTCGCGTCACTGGTGTTGGAGCTGCAAGAAGTTAGGACGGGTGATGTCAATCAAGGATTTCGTGATGATGCATCGTTATTTGCAAAATGGCAGAGTTGGTGGTTATTTTATTTCATACATTGTCTAAAAAAACTGTTGGGCTTGAAGAACTCACAACCAGGTTCTTGTATCTACAGCTTTTTGCAGTACAGTCAGGTGGTTCTGGTCCCTGTGGTATCTTCATAGGTTGGAAGTGTTACTTGGTAGTTGGTTGCTCTTTTTCATTACCTTTTGTACATTGTTTTTTGTATCACATTTAAGGATGATTAGATCATTTCTCGTGTGTTTCTAGGGTTTTGTTGGTTGTTGAGGGACAGTTGGCCATCAGTTCATCATTTCATAGCAATTGGATGGTTATATCTGATGTGATTTTTTCTGACTTTAGGTCATTTTCTCCTTATCTCCATTATGGTTCTTGCCTGATTATTTATCAAGTTGCTTGTTTGTTTGTAGGTCTAAGTTTGTGATGAATGGCTACTGGGTTCATCATCACGATTCCTATTGCCAATTTCTGTGGGTTGTGGTTATATTAATTTTGATTTTTTCAACTTAGATGCTGGTGGGAAGGGTTATGCTTGTTTTCTTTGTTGATAGGTACTAGGAAGCTTCTGACTGATGATGATGGTCTTTTGTATGCTGTGTAGCATTCTCCTGATCCCACATCCATCTGTTGCCATTCACCTCTCTAAGTTGTGGCCAAGTAGAGAGGTTGCATATTGATTTAAGAAGGGATGTGTTATTGGATCTGTATTGTTATAGCTTTCTTTGCCCCTGTTTTGACCATTCTTTGATATCTAAAATTTTCTCGTGCGTAAGCTTTCATGATTAGTTTGCGTCTTGTATGTAGGTTTTGTTGATACCAAACGTGGTTCAAATATCAAGATCATCGTTCTGGTTTTTCTATATTTTTTTATGATTCTTTTGTTTTAGCATTATGGATTTTCCTTGTTGCCTTGGGCTCATCTGTGTTTCCCTTGCTGTATGATGCACATTCTGTAGGTCTTCTTTGGTGGACATGGTCATGGTTCGCCGTAGAGTGCATGTGTCAGCTGTTGAAGATGTTTTGGTCTATCTGTTTCTATGAATACTACTATCCTATCATTTTCTCTCATTTCGTCCTTGGGTGTTTTTGTTACTTCTATATCATTTTTCTTCTAGGGTAAATGAGAAGGGTAGTTGTTTTTCTGCAGGTTCTGAACTAAGTGAAGAAGATAGCTAGCAAATCATTGGCACTTGTATTTTCTTCTTTGGCACTATTCTTTTTAATCTCTCATTTCTGAATTGCCATTGTATGTAAGCTTGCATGATGAGATTGTGCTTTGTCTGTAGGTTCGTTTGGTGCCAAACACCGTGGTTCAATTGTTGCAGTCATGATGTGTGCTGGTTTTATATAATCCTTGTGATGGCATTTTGATTTCTACATCTTCCTTCATCTTAAAGACCTCTTTTGCTTATTTGCTAATAGGCCTACAAGAGCACATTCAGGTCAACTGGACCATTGTCCTTCCTGGTTTGGCTGGTTTGTTGCTGTCTGTGGTTGTGGTTCTGTGAATCCTGTGGACGTTTATGAAAAATGGAAGTAGAAGCATCATTTCAGACTTCTAGTTTTATGTGATACTCTGGGATGAAAGACAGGAAGATGAACTATATATGATCTTTTAATTATTTTTATCTTGGCAAAATTTGAAGCATTTAGCTTTATCAGATTCAGTACTCATTGATTTACTCTGCTCTATGGTCTTCTTTTTGTTCTCCATGTTGCATGTAGAAGGCCGTCTTCCTCGATGGCATGCCAGTTACTATAGCTCGCTATGGAGTCCTTTCTGGCTTGGCAACGGATGTCTGGTCCATCTCTTTATGTGAAATTTACCTTCCTTTCATTTATATCTGCTTTTTTTTTCCTTCCCTTTTTCTGTGTCAGAGATGAAGGATACACTACTCTCACCACAGGTTCAGATTAGAGAATGAATGGATCGTTGTTCTTGCTGGTGGATCTTCAGTACCTATGTTTTCTTCCTTGCCACCATTTTTTCTGTCCTTTGATTTCTCAAATTTCTGTATGTGGGTCATTAGTTCGTGTTTTGTATGTAGGTCTTGTTGATACCAATCACCATATGGTCCAACGATCAAGATCACCATGTGCTGGTTTTTCTATAATTCTTATTATGGTTCTCTGCTTTTGCATTATTGGTTTTTCTTGTAGTTGCCTTGGATTGATTTATGTTCCCCTTGCTGAATGATGCACATTGTCTAGGTCTTCTTCGGTTGGGTATTGGTACATGCTATTATGGTTCGCTTTGGGGGTACTTGTGTTAGCTATTGGAGATCACTTCATCAATCTGTGTCTGAATTCTACTTTCCTATAATTTCTTTTGATTCCCTGTCCTGTTGTTTTTGGCGGTTTTTGTTATTCTTACATCAATTTCTTATTTTTTTTTCATATATTAATATTAAATGTGCAAGGATGATTCTTTTTTCCACAGGTTGTGTCCTAGCTGAAGATCACCAGTGAATCATTGACAGTTGTATTCTTGACCTCAACACTGGTCTGATTATTCTTCTCTTTCTGATTGCCATTGTGTGAGAATTTGCGTGATGTGATTGTATTTTTCTTTCTATCCTTGAATCATTTTTTTCTGGGCTTTGTTTATGGTCCTTGCCTGATTATTCATCAAGTTACTTGTTTGTTTGTAGGTCTAAATTCGTGCTAAATGGCTATGATCATCACAATTTCTATCTGAATGGCTATGATCATCACAATTTCTATCTGTAGGCTTGCCGATATTTGTTGTATTGATTTGGATTCTCTCAACTTAGATGCTGGTGGGGTCGAGGGTTATGCTTGTTTTCTGTTGATAGGTGCTAGAAAGCTTCTGATCAGTGATGATTGTCCCTTGTATGCTGTCTAGCACTCTCCTAATTCAGTTGGTGATGCTATCCTAACCACAACCTTCTGTTGCTCCCATTTCACCCCTTGAAGTCATGTGGCCAAGTAGAGAGATTGCATATTGATTCAGGAAACGATGAGTTACTGGGCCCGTATTGTTTTTGTTTTCTTTCTTGCCCCTGTTTTGTCCCATTATTTGAAAGTAATTAATAATTACCCTTTAAAAAGCACCTTATGATTTCTTAATATATTACCATATAAAATATATGTAGGTTTTGTTGATACCAAACATGATATTTATATATGAAGGTCATCATTCTGGTTTTTCTATGTTTCTTATGATCATCTTCTGTCTTAGAATTGTTGGTTTTTTCTTGTGGTTCGCAGGGGGCCGTCTATGTTCCCCTTGCTGTATGATGCATATTCTGTTGGGCACGGGCACGGGCACCTACCAATATGGTTTGCCGTGGTGTTAGCTATTGAAGATGCTGTGGTCTATATGTTCCTGTGAATTCTACTATCCTCTCATTTTATTTCATTTCGTCCTTCATTGTTTTTTTGTTACTCCCGTATATGTCTTCTTCTTGGTGAGGTAATCGTTTTTCTGCAGGTTCCGAGTGAACTGAAGAAGGCCGCTAGTGGATCATTGGCACTTGTGTTGTCTTCCCTGTTTTTTTCATTCTCTCATTTCTGAATTGCTATCGTGTATAAAAGCTTGCATGATGAGATTGTGCTTTTTGTTGGTTTGTTTGGAATCAAACACAGTGGTCCAAGATTGAAGTCACCATGTGTGCTGTTCTAATATAATTCTTATGATCGCCTTTTGCTTTAGCATCATCTTCTTTACATTTTTCCATCATCCTGAGACCTCCTTTTGTTAATTTGCTAATAGGTCTGTCTACCAAATTGCACACGTCAATTTCACCATGGTCGTTTCTGGTTTGTTGCTCTCTATGGTTGTGGTTCTGTAAATGCTGTCAACGTAGATGAAAAATAGAAGCAGCATCATTTCAGTTTCATGTGATACCATGGGGTAGAAGATAAAAGATGTTCTATAACTGATAATCTTCTCTTTGTTTTTATCTTAGGGAAGCATTTAGCTTTATTAGATTCATTACTCATCAATTTACCCTGCTCTAATTTTTTTTTTCTTCCATTTCCTATGTTGCATATAGTAGGTCGTCTTCCTCGATGGCACATGCGTAACCGAGTATTATAGCTAGCTATGTAGCCGTTGTGGCTTGGTAGTGGATGTCTTGGTCCATCTCTTTATGTGAAATCTACCTTCCTTGTATGTAGGTTTTGTTGATAACCGAACATCGTGTTCAGATATCAAGATCACCATTCTGGTTTTCCTATATTTCTTATGATCATCTTCTTATAGTCGTCTTCTGTTTTAGCGTCGTTGGTTTTTCCTTGTAGTCGCCTCATCTACCCCCTTGCTGTATGATGCACATGCTGTAGGTCTTCTTCGGTGGGCATGGGCACTCGCTTACATGGTATGCATGGAGTACACGTGTTGGCTATTGAAGATATATTGGCCCATCTGTTTCTGTGGATTCTACTAGGCTCTTATTTTCTCATATTTCGTCCTTGGTTGTTTTTGTTATTTTTACTTTGTTTATTTTTTTATTTCTTGGGAAATGGAATGTACAAGGGTAATTGTTATTCCACAGGTTCTGAGCTGAACTGAAGAAGACGGCTAGTCAATCATTGTCACTTGTATTTTCCTCCCTGACTATTCTTTTTGTTCTCTCATTTCTCAGTTGCAAGTGTGTGTAAGCTTGCATGATGAGATTGTGGTTTGACTGTAGGTTTGGTTGGTGCCAAACAGAGAGGTCCACTGAGGTCACCATGTGCTGGTTTTGTATAGTTCTTGTGATCGCCTTTTGATCAAGTATTATCTCTTTTCCATCTTTTCGTTATCTTGAGATCTTTTTGCCTATTTGCTAATAGGTCTATTGAAGTGTTCGCGTCGATGAATCATTGTCTTTCCTGTTTTGTTGCTATCTGTGGTTCGGTGGATCCTGTGGACGTTTTGTGAAATTAGAAGTAGATTTCTGTTTTGTGTTACCCTGGGGTATAAGATGAAAGATGTTATGTTAACCGATATTCTTTTATTTATTTTAATCATAGCAAAATTTGAAGCATCCCAACTAACTTTTCTTCCATTTTGGGGGTGATCTGCACGTAATGTAGACATATGTGCTGTATTTATTATGGTTTTGCCTTCATTTTCGTTGATGGCATTAGATTAATTGCTCATTAATTTAGCCTGCTTTTATAGTTTCTTTTTTGTTCCCCATGTCGCATATAGCGGGTCGTCTTCCTCAATGGCACATGCATACCAACTCTCTTTGGGCCGTCGTGTCTTGGCAGCGGATGTCTTGGTCCATCCCCTTATGTGAAATCTATCTTTATCTCGTTATATCTGCCTTCCTTCTTCCTTCCTTTTTCTCTGTGGCATGTGACACAAGGATACACTTCTTTCGCCACAGGTTCAGACAACTGAGGATGATTGGATCGTTGTGTTTCGACGGAATCATGAGCACCTATGTTCTCTTCTTTGCCTCTATTTTTGTCCGTTCTTTGAGTTCTCAATTTTCTTTGTGTAAATTTTTGCGTGTTAGGTTTGTGTAAAGTTGTATTTTGTATGTAGGTCTTGTTGATACTAAACATCATAATTTTCTTTGTGTAAATTTTTGCATGTTGGGTTTGTGTAAAGTTGTATTTTGTATGTAGGTCTTGTTGATACTAAACATCATGGTCCAACTCTCAGGTTTTTCTGTACTTTTTACTATTGTCCTCTGTTTTTGCATTATTGGTTTTCCTTTAGTTGTTTCGGGTTCATTTATGTTCTCCTTCCTGAATGATGCACATTCTGTAGGTCTCTTGGTTGGACATTGGTACCTGCTATTATGGTTGGGTATGGAGTACTCATTTTATCTAACGGAGATGTCTTGGTAAAATCTGTTTGTGTGAATCTTACCATCCCATCATTTTTTCTAATTTCGTATCATGTTTTTCTTACTTGTTTTTTAGTACTCTTACCTCATTTTCTTTTCTTTATAATTGTTCTTAAACGTATATAAAATGTGCAAGGATAATTCTTTTTTTCCACAGGTTCTGACTCAGCTGAAGATGATTGCTAGTGAATCATCAACACTTGTATTTTTGCCCCCACACTGGTCTGTTTATTCTGTTCTTTCTGAATTTCCATTGTGTGTGAAGTTGCATGATGTGATTGTACTTCATCTGTAGGTTGGTTGGTCACTTGGTTGTCAAACGATGTGGTCTGATTATCGAGATCACTATGTGCCCGGTTGTTGTGTGGTTTTTATGATGGTTAGCATTATTTGTTTTTTGTCTTCCCATCATCTTCAGAATATCATCTCGAATCTTCTCTTGCTAACAGGTCTATCAAAGCGTTTGGGTATTGGACCTTTTTCTTTCCTGTGTTCTTATCTTTGGTTGTTCTGTGAACCCTGTCGACGTTCGGGAATGGAATTTGAAGTTTCATTTCAGTTTTGCGTGATGGCTAGTGGTATCTTCATCTTTTATGACCAATGCTCTTTTATTTATTTCTATCATGGCTAAATATGAAGCAATGACCGAGAACTGATTTCTTCCTTTTTGGGGTGATATACGGATAGTGTGGACGTATTTATTCTTGTTATCCCTTCGTTTTCCAGCATTTGTTTGAAAGGATTGAGAAATCATAGAGGGAATTACTGATTTACTGTTTAGTTTGGATTAATTACTCGTTAATTTGGAGGTATCTGTCTGCTTTCATGGTTTTTTGGCTATGTATACAGTAAACTCGGTTCTTCGGTCTGGCTATGTTCCATGTGTTGCACATTGTAGGTCATCTTCCCCAATGACACGTGAGTAACCTGATAATATAGTTGGCCGTGGAGTACCTGTGGCAGTGGATGTCCTGGTTCATCTCTTTCGGTGACTTACCTTTCTCTTGTTTATATCTCATTCACATCACTCTAGTGGGCATTTCTCACCATCGTTTATATCTGCTTTGCTTTCTTTTTACTGGCCTTTTTCTGTGTCTGAGAGATGCCACCACAGGTTCAGACAAAATTGAAAACGATTGGATTGTTGTGCCTGCGGATTGTCAGCAATCTGTGTTTCTTTCTTTAGCATTATTTTGTCCATTTTCTGATTTCTCTATTTTTTGTGTAAAAGCTTGTGCGGCTAGATTGCGTTTTGTATGTTGGTTTTGTTGACACCCAATGCCGTGGTTCAACTGTCAAGATCACCCACCTTCCGGTTTTCTGTAACTTATACGATTGTCTTTTGTTATAGTATTATTGGTTTTCTCTTGTAGTTAGTTGCCTTGGCTCACCCTTGCTATATGGTACGCATTCTGTAGGTCTTCTTGTGTTGGCTATGGAGTACTTGTGTTAGCTACTGAAGATGTCTTGGTCAATCTGTTTCTGCAACATCTATGTTCTTGTTTTGTTCTCATTTCATCTCATTTCTTATCTTGCTCTCATTTGGTTGTCTGTTATTCTTCTCATTTGGTTGTCTGTTATTCTTCTTCTCATTTCATCTCATTTCTTATCTTGCTATCCTTGGTTGTCTGTTATTCTTGTGTCAGTCTTTTTTTCTTCTCTTGCATAAATGAGAGGTGCAAGGATGATTGTTCTTTAAGCAGGTTCTGCAGGTTCTGACCAAACTGAGAAATCATCGATTGTGAATTATTGGCAGTTGTAGGGGTGTAAATGTTACCGAGACAACTCGCGAGCTATTCGAGATCGATTCGGTCAAACTTGAACTCGACTCAACATATTAAGGAGTCGAGTCGAATTACCCAATACTTGACTCGGAAAACTCGTAAGATACTCGATTTTTTTATATAGTTTTAAAAATCGAACTCGACTCAACATATTAAGAAGTCGACTCGAATTACCCAATACTTGACTCGAAAAACTCGTAAGATACTCGATTTTTTTATATATAGTTAGTTTTAAAAATATAATCGGTCTATAATATAATATGTACAATATAATGAAATAAAAGTGTCTTATTTTTAAATATTTGAATAATATCGTGTATTTTTAATTGAATAATATCATGCATTTTTAATTATATAAACTATGTCAATAATTTTTTTTATTTAAAATAATAATTAAAGAAGACAAAAAAATTATAGAAGTGTTGGTGAAGTTGTCTCATGTTGGAAGAGCGATGATAAAAGAAAGATGAAGTAATATCGTGCATTTTTAATTATATAAACTATATCAATAATTTTTTTTATTTAAAATCATAATTAAAAACGACAAAAAAATTATAGAAGTGTTGGTGAAGTTGTTTCACATTGGAAGAGCGATGATAAAAGAAGGATGGAGAGTTATAAAAAGAGAGGGTGTGAAAGAAGTTTGTAACCTCATTTTTTTTGCGATGAAATTTGAGGTGCATTACTGTAGTTTTTCAAAATTATGTGAAAGAAGTTTGTAACCTCATTTTTTTTGTGATGAAGTTTGAGGTGTATTACTTTAGTTTTTCAAAATTTTAAAGAACGTTTTTAAGTTTCATAATTTATAAGAGAAAGCCTTAAAATTTCATAAATTTTGATGGGTGAGCTTGATTAGAGTTCAAATTTGAGTTTGATTTGAGCTTCAAACAAGTTTGAGTTTAGAAATTTGCAATCGAGTTTAGTTTTTAACTAGTTCTCGAGTCGAGTTCAAGCTTGAGAAATGGCTATTGAGTTTGAGTTGGGTATATAGTATATTTTTCTTTTATTTAGCTTTATGCGAGTGTTATATCTGTAAGGAACATTTTTGTCACCACAGGCTCAAGACAGAAACTGAGATATTGGATTGTTGTTCTTGCCCATGAAACTGAGAAAGTATTTGCGACAAGTGGACAGTTGTCTTTCCTGTGTTGCTATTTGTTGTTGTTCTGTGAAGGTAGGCCTTCCTGAGCGGTCATTTAGGGGCACCTCGTGGGTCAGAACTATTCCTGGGTAAAAGATACAGGATGGTTTATGACCAAGGTTCTATTATTTAATTCTATCTTGGTCGAAATTGAAGCAATCAGTGGCTGATTCCTTTCCTTTTTGGGATGAGCTTACAGTATCCGTAGGGATTGAATTTGTGATGTAATGAGATCAAATCAAATTCCGGGGGTGTAACAAAAAAATAAGGATATGCATCAACTTATTTAATTATTCGTGTGCTGTGTTTATTCTTGTTATCCCTTCTTTTTGAAGTATGAAAGTCTTTAGTTGAAAGTGTTGAAGAGTCGCAGATGGCATATGTCTGCTTTCATGGTTTTTTTGGTCTGTCTATGTTCCCTGTGCTGCATATCGTAGATCGTCTTCCCGAATGGCCAGTGAGTACCTGATAATATAGTTGGCTATGGAGCAGTTGTGGCTTAGCAGTGGACGACTTGGTCCGTCTTTCTGTTCTCTTGTTGAAATCACTTTTGTATCAGTCTGTGTCAGAGATGTAAGAAGACCATAGGTTAAGGCAGGACTGGAAAAGATTGGATCGTTGTTCTTGTCTACAGATCTCAGCAACTATGTTTTTAGCTTTGCACTATTTTGTCCATCTTTTGATTTCCCGAATTTTCTTGTCTGTAAGCTTGTGTGATCAGTTTGTGTTTTTGTTTTGTAGGTTTTGTTGATACCCAACCACCAAAATACCCGTTTCCTGGTTTTGCTATAATTCTTTTGTAGGTTTTGTTGATACCCAACACCGTGGTCCAACCACCAAAATACCCGTTTCCTGGTTTTGCTATAATTTTTTATGATTTGTTTCTGTTATAGCATTATTGCTTTTCTTGTAGTTTCTTTGGCTGTCTGTCTTTGTTACTTCTGCATCATTTTTTCTGTCTTGTGCAAACGAGATGTGCAATGATTGTTCTTTCCGCAGGTTCTGACTTAACTGAAGATGAACGCTTGTGGATAATTGGCACTTGTGTTTCTTCCTTGACGCCATTTTGTTTATTCTCTCATTTTTGAATTACCATTGCATGTAAGCTTGCATGATGAGATTGAGTTTTGTCTGTAGGTTTGTTTGGTGCCAAACACCATGGTCTACAATGATCCAATCATCGAGATCACCCTTTTTTGGCATTTTGTTTCTTTTAGCATCGTCTGTTTTTCATTTTTCCATCATCTTGAGAACCTCTTTGCTCTATCGCTAATAGGTCGACTTGTGTTTCCTGGTTTGTTGACATATGTTGTTTGGTGAATCCCCGCAGATGGTGTAGACATACGTGTCTTACATGTTCGTGTTATGCCCTTGTTTTGAAGTTTGCAAGGAAAGGCCATAAATGGCATTACCATTAGCTTTAGATTAATCTCTCATTAATTTGGAGCTGTTCATTTCTTTTGGTGACGTTTTCCTTGTGGTTTTATTCTTCTATGTTCCCCGTTTTGCATGGTGTAGGTTGTCTTGCTCAATGGTGCACACGTACCTGCTACTGCAAGTATATAGTTGGCCCTAGTTCTTAACAACTTATGACCATCTGTTTCAGCATGGTTGAGTTTTCCATAATTCTTAATAAGTCAACCTACGGCATGATGCACATCTTGTAGGTCTTCTATGGTCAGACATGGGGTACCTTGTTTTGACAATCGAAGATGTATCTGTTTATGAGTTCTTCTTTTCTTCTGTTTTATCTTATTTCGTATCTTGTTGTAATTGGTTGTTTAGTTACTCTTGCATCATTTCTCTTTCTTTCCTTCTTTTCTTGTATAAACGAGATGTTCTCCCTGCAGGTTCTTACTGGAATCAAGATATGGGCACTTGTGTTTTCCTTACTGGTAAGTATGTTTATTCTCTCATTTATTTAATGCTAAATTATGGTTGATTGGTGTGGTTATTGATATTGGTATTTACAAGTTTTAACTCTGCCTGGGTTTCTCAGCCGGTCCCAAGCCCGGATAAAATGAGGAGGGTTCTTTGCTAAAAACTTGTTTGTTGGTAGCGAGTTGCACTGTTTTTTTAATATTATAGCTTACTTACATTATTAATTTATTATATGTTATAAATTATTTAGATAAAACTTTTAAAAGGTATATTTGTTAAGTAAGATTACTACCGATATGAAATAGTTTTAACTGAGAATCCATATTAACACCCTCATTTTTATAGTGCCATCAAGAGCTCTAGCTGCAAGAGGATAGGATCTTTAGGTTGGGCACGAAAGCTGCATTGATTTGACTTTTTTGCTTATGTTATTGAAGCGAAAAACCTCAAGAAAACTTTAGAAATTCTTAGATAAAACTTTTAAAAGGTATATTTGTTAAGCAAGATTACTACCGATATGAAATGATAGTTTTAACTGAGAATCCATATTAACAACCCCATTTTTATAATCTTAATTTTACAAAGCTTCTAAAAAGTAACATACTTTTACAAAAAGAAGTTGAAATTACATAAAGATAGTGGATAGTAGTACCTTTTGCTTTTAGTATGTCACCTGTCACATTTGACCACAATAATTGCTTGCAACCATACCCACAAAAATAAAAAGTTTTAGCTCTCATTTGTTGACTTTGACCACCTCCATCAGCACAATAATTGCTTGCAATCATATTTTAGCTGTCATTTCGCCACCTGCATCATCTCAACATCGACTTCTCCTTTCTACTGCATTTGCAGTTGCTTGGTAGTTCAATTTTCTCCTTTTTATTTGATTTACAGATAATGGCCTTCTTCTTAGATGAGTTTAGACATCTTAAAATCCAACTACAAGATATAAAATCAGCCACCCACAACTTTAGCAACGACAATTTCATCGGAGTGCCGATGCTCTCACATGGATGCAGCGCCTCAAGATATGCCTTGGGGTCGCAAGGGGACTCAACTACCTTCATGATCCCGCGGGGACACAACAAAGAGTTCTTCACCGCGATATAAAAAGTGCCAACATCTTATTAGATGAGAATTGGAATGCTAAAATCTCTGACTTGGGGTTGTCAAAAATAGGTCTTGCTAATCAGAAACACACATTTCTTGTCTCTAATGTTGTAGGTACCTTTGGGTACATAGATCCCCTGTATCTCGAGATGGGCGTGCTGACAAAAGAGTCAGATATATACTCTCTTGGGGTTGTCTTATTCGAGGTATTGTGCAGTAGATTATGCTTTAAATATAGCCATGGTCAATATCAGAGTCTGGTGCGTATGTGGAAGAAAAGCTACAAAGAAAAGAAATTAGATGAGATCATATCTCGAGATCTGTTGCAGCGAATGGATTTGAATTTCTTGGAAACATTTTCAGACATTGCATATCAATGCTTGCAGAAAACTCGTGATCATATCTCGAGATCTGTTGCAGCGAATGGATTTGAATTCCTTGCAGAAAACTCGTGATCATATCTCGAGATCTGTTGCAGCGAATGGATTTGAATTCCTTGGAAACATTTTCAGACATTGCATATCAATGCTTGCAGAAAACTCGTGGAGCACGGCCACTAATGGTTGATGTCGTGGTAAAGCTTGAGATTGCACTTAAATCTCAGGAGATTTATGAAGGGGTGAAATTGTCAGAGGAGTACGAAGTGATAAAATTGCTGGAGGAGTACGAAGCAATAATTAAGAGTGCAACACCTTCTCTTATCTTTAGATCCAAAGCGGAATTGCAAGCGCTTCTCTCCAAAGGGATTATCGTTAATGTTGGCAAAACGGTAAATGGACATTTAGGTTGTGGCGCACTGGTAAAGGCTCAGGGGATGTAGTGAAAAATCTCATCTACCGGGTTCAAATCCAGGCGCCGCTAAAGCGCTTGTGGTCATCGAGGTCCACCTGCGATTACGATGATTCCAAGCCATTCGTAGTGGATTAATCAGTGTGCATAAGCTGCCTCAGAAACCACGGTTACCCACAAAAAAAGCTCACAACACTAGAATCCATCCTTAAAAAATCTTTATTGATGTTTCCTTAATTTACGTATTTTTGAATGTTGAAACTATGTATAAGTTGAAAAGTAAAGTGTACTCATCCTACATCAACTTAACTAACTTGAACTTGTTTTAATGGACAGTGGTTTTTGGTTTTCGTTAAATAAGAATGAAGAACATTGTGAAATGATATCATCAACATAATTTATTCCTTTGTGGAGGCATCATTGTCATCATCAGTTTACAGAGGATTCAAGGTGACATGTCCTCCCTCTTGTTCCTATGTATTTGATAATAAAGTAAAATGAAGGTTTTGTTCTTTATATTGCTCAAACAAATTTTTTATAATATTCTCTAAAACTTAATCAATTTTTTCCACCAACAAGATTGAATTGTTATTATTTTATATAAAGTTTTTAAAGGTGTCTCAGGATAATAAAGTTAGTAAAATATGAGAGATTCTAAAACATAGAGGATTGGTTGGAGTTGAATGTCATGTTTTTTAGAGGTTTTAACTTTTAGTTCAATATTTTAGAAAAAATTATAGAAAACCTGTTTGAGAGGGGAATCCATGTTGCTTTTTCCTGTAGATTTGCAGAGTTCAATTTAGTACCACCTTTTGGGAAGTTCAAAGCACATGTCAAACCTCAATTCTTGTCACGAGGAATCACATATACAGTTAACTTAGTGTTCAAACTCAAAAACCGAAATGGGAACTCAAACGAACCTACGTATTTAGCCCTCGATTACAAACTGAAAGGGGAGACAAAATATTCAACAACATACCTTGCACATGAGAGAGAACATAGATGGATGACGGTTGAATTGCGTCAGTTTACTAGCGACAAAAGAGATTTTGACCTTGAAATTCTATTTGATGGCACTAAATTTCCTTTTGACGCCCTCGTGGTAGAAGGCATTGAGTTTCGGCCCTCAGAGAGAGTAAGTTGGTGAATACTCGTTTATATGTTTACATCATTTTTCCTTTAAGTTGTTCTTAAACTTTCTTTGCCACACTAACATTTTGTTATATAGAAAATTGGATCAGGTATGTGCGAAATCATCGCATAATAACTTTTCTTAAACTATATTTTGACCCTTTACTGCTTGGGTTACACGGAATTTGTTCGAAGATGATATCAAATTGCACCCTGAATCTTGCTCAAGGTTCTAGTTAGGGGTTGTTTATCAAACACTTACCAACAATTCTCGATCTGATGATTGGAAATATTACCCCATAAAATATGTAAAGGTAACGACTCTTGCTGCTAAGCATTTGGTAAACAGCCCCTTAACCTATAATTTAGCTTAATTATCAATAAATTAATTCTAAGTATACAGAACGATCTGAAAATCACCACGCACATCTTGATTGTAAGAGAACCTACATGGCTTACCTACTTTTCTTGGGGGAACGTTGTGGTTTTTAAAGAAAACATTTGGAGAATACGATATTTTCTTTTGTAGTCGATCAAAGACTTGGGGATTGTTTACTCAAATGCTTGTACGGTAACACGTAAAAATACACACTTGTACTTATCTTACCGTGTAAGATTGTGATATCTTAAAACGATAATAATTTGTATGGTAAGCGCTAAACTCATCACCCTCATTTACCGGGTAAGACTCTTGACCCTTGTCATCGCTTTTAGCAGGTAAAACTCTTGGTTTTTGTCATATTCATCCTGTAAGGTAAAAGGACCCGGTAAGTGTTTATCCATCGGGTAAGCGTGTAGTAAATGGCCCCTTATATTGGATGTTTAATAGGTGGCGTCAGAGGTTGAGGAGGTGGATAAATCACAAGCGGTAAAACTCTTGGTTTTTGTCATATTTATCCTGTAAGGTAAAAGGACCCGGTAAGCGTTTATCCATCGGGTATTTGGATGTATTTAGCTGTTCATTGTTTTTCTGGTGGTTAGTTTTATTCGGTCTTTCTATTTTCCCCGTTTTGAATGGTGTAGGTCGTCTTCCTCAATGGTGCACAGCACATGTACCTACTACCACTAGTATAGTTGGCTGTGGAGCACCTGTGCCTTTGCTGGGTCCATCTCTTTCTATTGGTTATATCATTTAATCACATTTGTATGATTCTGTTATTAGGCATTCTCATTATCTCTACTTTCTCTTCTCCTTCCCTTTTTCTAAGTGTCACATATGTAAGGTTACTTCTGTCACTACAGGTTCAGACACACACTGAAAATCATCAGCACCTATTTTTTCTCACCTTTTCATTTTCTGATTTCTCGATTTTTCTTGTGTGTAAGCGTAAGCTTGCTTGATTACTTCGTGTTTTGTATGTAGGTTTTGTTGAACGTGGTCCAACTATCAAGACCACTGTTTGCTGGTTTTTTCACAGTTCTTAACAAGTTATGACCGATATGAAATGATAGTTTTTACTGAGAATGCCTATTAACACCCCCATTTTTACAGTCTTAATTTTACAAAGCATTCTAAAAAGTACCATACTTTTACAAAAAGAAGTTCAAATTTACATAAAGGATAGTGAATAGTAGTACCTTTTGCTTTTAGTATGTCACCTGCACGTTTGACCACAATAATTGCTTGCCACCATCCCCACAAAAATAATTTGACCACCCCCATCATCACGATAATTGCTTGCAATCATATTTTAGCTGTCATTTCTCGACTTTGGCCACATCCATCAGCTCTATATCGACTTCTCCTTTCTACTTCTGCATTTGCAATTGCTTGGTACTTCAATTTTCTCATTTTTATTTGATTTACAGATAATGGCCTTCTTCTTAGATGAGTTTCAACATCTTAAAATCCAACTACAAGATATAAAATCAGCCACCCACAACTTTAGCAACGACAACTTGATCGGAAAGGGTGGCTTCGGGAACGTCTACAAAGGAGAAATCTCTCACTCAAAGGGGCGAAGCATGGTTGCTTTTAAGCGTCTAGATCTAGATAGTGGGCAAGGAAATGCCGAGTTCTGGAGGGAGATTATGATGCTTTCCCGTTACTCCCATGAAAATCTCGTCTCTCTCCTGGGATATTGCAACGAGGGTGATGAGAAAATCCTTGTGTATGAGTATGCATCTCGTGGAAGCCTTGATCGCCATTTAAGTGCCGATGCTCTCACATGGGTGCAGCGCCTCAAGATATGCCTTGGGGTTGCAAGGGGACTCGACTACCTTCATGATCCCGTGGGGACACAACAAAGAGTGATTCACCGTGATATCAAAAGCGCCAACATCTTATTAGATGAGAACTGGAATGCTAAAATTTCTGACTTAGGGTTGTCGAAAATAGGTCTTGCTAATCAGAAAAATACATTTCTTGTCTCTAATGTTGTAGGTACCTTTGGGTACATAGATCCCCTGTATCTGGAGATGGGCGTGTTAACAAAAGAGTCAGATGTATACTCTCTTGGGGTTGTCTTATTTGAGGTATTGTGCGGTAGATTATCCATTAAATATAGCAATGATCAATATCACAGTCTAGTGCGTATGTGGAGGAAAAGCTACAAAGAAAAGAAATTAGATGAGATCATATCTCGAGATCTGTTGCAGCGAATGGATTTGAATTCTTTAAAAACATTTTCAAACATTGCATATCAGTGCTTGCAGAAAACTCGTGGAGACCGGCCACTAATGGCTGATGTCGTGGGAAAACTTGAGATTGCACTTGAATCTCAGGAGATTTATGAAAGGGAGAAATTCGCAGAGGAGTATCAAGCGATAATTAAGAGTGCAATACCTCCTCTTATCTTTAGATCAAAAGCGGAACTGCAAGCGCTTCTCTCCAAAGGGTTTATCGTTAATGGTGGCAAAACGGTAAATGGACATTTAACCATTTAGGTTGTGGGGGCATTGGTAAAGGCTTAGGGGATGTAATGGAAAATCCCATCTATCCAGGTTCAAATGTAGGCGCTACCAAAGGCCTTGTGGTCATCGAGGTCCACCTGCGATGACTCCAGGCCATTCGTGGTTGGTGGCCTGGTGTGCATAAGCTGCCTCAGAAACCCATGGTTACCAAAAAAGAAGAAGCTAGCAACACTAAAAATCCATCCTTAAAAAAATCTTTATTGATATTTTCCTTAATTTACGTATTTTATATGTAGAAAAATAAAGAAGATTTTAGTGTACTCATCCAACATCAATTCAACTAATTTGGACATTTTTAATGGATAGTGGGTTTCGTTAAATAAGAATGAAGAACGTTGTGAAATGATTTCATCAAGAGATTTTATTCCTCTGTGGAGGCGGCATCATCATCGGCAGTTTACAGAGGATTCAAGGTGACATATCCTCCCTCTTGTTTTTATATATTTTATGATAGAGTAAAATAAGGGTTTTATTCTTTATATTGCTCAAATAGATTCTTTATAATGTTCTCTAAAATAGAGAAAACATGAAATTTTTTCTAAGTTTAGAGAATTCTCTAAAACTTTTTTTATCAATTCCACCAATGAGATTGGATTGTTATTATTTTATATAAAGTTTTTAAAGGTGTATCAAGATGAGAAAGTTAGAAACATATGTTAGAAATCTCTAAAACCTCTTTGATTTAGTAGATTTGCATGTTGCTAATCCATGTTGCTTCTTCGTGTAGATTTGCAGAGTTCAATTTAGTAGCACTTTCTGGGGAGTTCAAAGCACATCTCAAACCTCAATTCTTATCACCAGGAATCACATACACAGTTAATTTAGTGTTCAAACTCACAAACCGAAATGGGAACTCAAACGAACCTACGTATGTAGCCCTCGATTACAAACTGAAATGGGAGACAAAATGTTCAACTGCATACCTTGCACATGAGAGAGAAGATAGATGGATGACGGTTGAATTGTATCAGTTTACTAGCCACAAAAGAGATTTTAACCTCGAAATTCTGTTTGATGGCATTCAAATTCATTTAAACGCCCTCGTGGTAGAAGGCATCGAGTTCCGGCCCTTGGAGAGAGTAAGTTGGCAAATACTCGTTTATATGTTCATATCATTTTTCTTTAAACTTTCTTTGCCACACCAACATTTTGTTATATAGAAAAATGGGTCAGGTATGTGAAAAATCATCTCATAATAACTTTTTTGAAACTATATTCTGACCCTTTACCGCTTGGGTTACACGAAATTTGTTCGAAGATAATATGCACAAGGTTTTAGTTAGAGGCTGTTTATCAAACACTTACCAACAATCTCACATCTCGTTCTGATGGTCAGGAATATTACCCCATAAGGTATGTAAAGGTGATGACTCTTGCTGCTAAGCATTTGGTAAACAGCCCCTTAGCTTATACGAATGTAAATTCCGCCATATCCTAACCTATAACTTCGCTTAATTATTCTTTATATAAAACTATCTGAAAATCACCACGCACATTTTGATTGTAAGACAACCTGCTTTTCTTGGGGGAACATTGTGGTTTTTAAAGAAAACATTTGGAGAATGCGATGATTTCTTTCGTAGTAAATCAAAGACTTAGGGGTGGTTTACTCAAATGCTTGTACGGTAAGTGGTAAATGCTTATTGGTAAGAATACACACTTGTACTTACCTTACCGGGTAAGATTCTGATCTATTAAAACGACATTGTATGCGATAATTTATATGATAAGCGCTAACCGGATACGAGTCATCACCCTCACTTACCAGGTAAGACTCTTGACCCTTGTCATCACTTTTAGCAGGTAAAATTCTCGGTCCTTGTCATGTTCATCTTGTAAGGTAAAAGGACTCGGTAAGTGTTTATATATCGGGTAAGCGTTTAGTAAACCACCCTTTATATTGGATGTTTAATAGGTGGCGTCAGAGGTTGAGAAGGTGGATATACAACCTGTATCAGATTGGGAAAGAAGATTGCCAGAAGATCATGAAGAAATAATCAAGTGGTCAAAAGATAGTATCAAATGGAGAACGAAAAAGGAACTCTATTTTCTTTTTTGTAAAGGCTTCCTGATCAATAATGGTGAAGAGGTATATTTTATACGAATGATTAATTAGGAACATAAGCGCTCGAGAGTTGCTATAAATAAATGTACTTACATGTTTATTGATTAACAGTGGTTTTTTCTGGCTAAAAATGGAAAGAAATGTCTTTTCCTACCGGCAAGAGCGCTTTTAGACACAAACCGATGGACATTTCAATCTTTACCCAACTTAAGGTTCTTGCTCCATCTCCTAACATGTTTATTTTATGTCTTGCATATATTTGTCACATGCGCTAATATTTTTGACTACAACTAGATCGGGTTCATAGGATGCCATCAATTTCTAAGCATCCTAATAGACTATTTTATAAGACTTAGGGGCCGTTTACCAAAAACTTATTCAATAAGTGCTTACGGGTAAAATTTAACACCATTAGATACTTATCGATTAAGATTTTAGTCCATCAACACAACACCGTATGCAATAATTTACACAATAAGCTCTTATCGTGGTAAGAGTTGTCGTCTTTACTTACCGGGTAAGACTCTTGTTCATTATCTCGCTCTTACAGGGTAAGATTCTTGGTCTTTACCACATTCATCTGGTGAGGTAATGTAATATGGTAAGCGCTTACCTGGGTAAGTGTTTACCTGGGTAAGTGTTTGGTAAACGGCCCCTTAGTTTATATATAAGACTAGATTAAAGTGTCCTAAAACACTTGTTAGATGTCATGTAAACTTATTACAGCCTATATATAGGACAGTTTAATTTTTGGTCCTATAAACCAAGTCTTATAGAATAGTCTGTTATGATGTTTAGAGTCCTGTAAACCCAACTTTTTTTAGATCTGCAACACTTGTATTATATGCAATATGCTTTATATTTTTGCAGGTTTGAAGAAGTGGCTCTTGATTGTTTTAGGAGTTATTTTCATATTCTCGGCGAAATCAAATTTCAAATGCTATCACCTGGAACAATATATGCATGTAACCTTGTCTACAAAATAACAGGAGACGTCGACAAAATCGAGGAGCCTATTGAAGTGAGAAATTGGTATCTTCCTTTTTCCGATTCCGATGAGATTAATTATCGATATATCTATTTACTTGGTCCTCAATTGCCGGTTATTAGACCAAATGTTGATGAAAATACCCATAACCCCCCGATATCGCAAATGCCAAAATTCAAAGGCCTTCCACGACTACGGAACAATGGTTGGATGGAAGTTGAAATATGGGAATTTGAAACATCTGTTAGGGTTGACAAGTTTGAGATTAACTTTTTGCTACAAAGAAAATCTGGCTCGGGGTTTCAGGGGATTAGTGTGCAAGGCATTGAGGTAAAACCTAAAAGATGATCTTCTTTTATGATTAATTGTAAGCACATATAATATTAATGGGTTTGTTTTCGTTTTAATTGATTATGTATTGCCATGAAGATGAAGTTTTATGTATTTTCAACTCAATTTTCTTTTTGAGTATTTCTATATATTAACCCCACTCTTGGGAATAAGCACCTTAATATTCCTAGATGGATTTATGATTATAAGCTTAACGATATATATAGAAAGAGACTTGAGATCATGTGAGATCACCAAAATAACACTAAACATTTATAAGGAAAAACATTATGAAGGTAATCTTCGTCTTTTTCTTGTGAAAGTTCGGAGTTAGAAGTGTTATTTTGTGGTCTTACAGGTCTCATGTAAATAGGTTGGTTTCACGTGAACTCAACCCTATATAAATGTGTGTGTGTGTGTGTGTGTGTTTAGGTGAAATATCATGTGAGAACGAGAGTTAATGTGAGAAACATAAGAAGGGATTTGGACCTTGATCACCTCTAATTTCAATCCCACCCATGAAGCCTTTGATATGGGGATTGATCGATTAATGTGGTGCATCTTGGTTCATTTCATCCTAATCTGTATCCAAATGTTAAGATCTTTTTTTATGTTTCTTACCTTAACTTTCGTTCTTATCGGAATCCATCTCTCTTTCTATATGTGTGTATGTGTGTTATATTAAAAAAAAAATGTTTAAAAAACATAAGACATCATGGAAACAAAAACTTGCTACAAATTCTTATCGATAAATTAATAAAGAAGAAAAAGGAGAAAAAATGACTATTTTGCTCTTTATAAATAATAGGTTTATTGAGATAGGCGAAATATCGTATGAAAATAAGAGTTAAAGTGAGAAGTGTAAAGAATGAATTAGATGTTTGATCACCTTTAATCTCAAACTCATTCATGAATCATGTTTGATACGGGAATTAACCTGTTGCATCTCGGTGCATCCCAATCTAATGTGCATCCAAGTCACCTTAACTCTCATTCTCACAAGAACCCAACCCTCCTAAAATATTTAATTGAATAATATGTTATTCAGATGGTGTATATTAGGGTTGTTCATAGATAGGCAAGGCTTGGGTGGGATGACCCGCTAGAAAAACGGGTTAGAACAAATATTTTTCGAAAAAATAGGATCCCCGGATGAGTTGTTAAAATTAATAGACAAGCATTGGCAATAAAAAAATTAGATAGACCCTCCAACCTGTAAATATTTTATAACTAAACCCTATATGGTGCCGTTTGTTTTGAAGGAATAGAATGGATTTAGGGGATTTGTATTTCAAATTCATTCCAATCCCATGTTTGGTTTGTTGAATTATCCGAATTTGAAATCTTTGGATTTAATTGAAATCCTTCAAATATAGGATTTTAAAAAAATGTTAAAAACATTTATATTGTAATAATCGATTAATAAAAAAGTAACCCAATTATTTTTATAATTATTTATAAATTTTTCAATAAATTATTTATATATTTACGTGATTGAAACTATGTATTATGTATTTTATATTAATTTCGAAACTTGTAAAGATTAATCCAGGCTTCCATTTCACTCTTGACTGCAACACGAATATACAAACAGAAAAGTCGTGTGGTGTGAAGATAACGTGATTATAGAAAATTGGAGAGGTTCCAACAACCATGAAAAATATCAATAAACTAAAGAATCTAACTTCTTCATCCAATTAAAAACCATTTATTGTTTATTATTATAAAGAATATAAAAACCCATTCATTGTTCATTTATTATAATGATAGTTGTTGTGGAAAGTTTCTATGTATGACATGATCCAATTAAAAATTAAAGAGGTTTATGAAGCAAAATAAATACTATGCAATAATTATTAATTAAAAATTAAGTAATATTATTAAAAATTGTTGCAATTTATTTTTAAAAGGGAGGTGGTTGAAGCAGATCGATTGATGAGAGTTTGGCAGTGAATTCTATAGAGATGAAGAGACGGCAGAAACTTGATGTACTGAAACATGGTTTTTATCAGGGGGGAGAGGAAGACGTGGATGAAACTGTATGGATTGAAGCAAGTCTGCGATTGTTGACCGCAACATTAGATATTGAAGATCTGCCAACAACAACATGGTGAAGATCTATTAAGATACCAAGTTCAGTGTGAAAGGTTAGAGGCTCTCGTTTCCAGCAAAATTGAGGCAGTTCAAGTCACACCCTTTTCTATTGAAGAAAGAATAGAAAGACCAATTTAAGTGCTCATCGGTAAATAAAATAAGCAATTTTTACCATCAAACACATAAGGATGGCCACCCTGAATGGATGTTGATTCATGGACAGCAATGGGAATCCGATCAAAGGCACACCAATCAAAATCGATATGTATAAAAAACTTTATGAAGGAAGTGTCACTCTTAGTATTCTACCAAACAGTTGGTTTGTGCGAGAAAACCCATTACTATATACGGCTACGAATCACAACTTCTTTAAAGACTAACAAATTAAAGGGAAGTGGAGCATCAAATGGTGTACAAGATGATTTTGGGAGAGAGGGATATTTTAGAAAAAAGTTAAACTTTGAAGCATATTTTTGTAATTTAAGGTCTTGTTGAGCATAGAAACTGGAATTTTCCTTTGAAACAAATTAGAAGAAAATAATCACAAGTATTTTAACTTAAATAGTCTATACTTTTTAAACTAAATGCATTATTGAAATAAATACGTAATTTGCATAAATATATACAATATTATTTGATTGTTAATTAGTTTTTATATCCCTGAAAATTATATTTCCTTCGTCGTAAATAAATGTCCATAATAAAAATGCATACATTTTTCAAGATATATAATTAGTACTTTTTTTAATAATTAAAAAACAATGTTACACTTATTTTGAAACAAATTAAAATAGAAATATTCACACTTATATATAGACGGAAAGAAATAATTGGTATTATATAATACAATTGACCACGTCAGGTAGTGAATAATAGTATTTTTTTTAGTATATCACCTGCCACAGTTGACCACAACAATTGCTTGCAACCATATTTTAGCTGTCATTTCTCGACTTTGGCCACCTCCATCAACTCTACATCCACTTCTCCTTTCTACTTCTGCATTTCCAATTGCTTGGTAGTTGAATTTTATCACTTTTATTTGATTTACAGATAATGGCCTTCTTCTTAGATGAGTTCCAACATCTTAAAATCAAATTAGAAGATATAAAATCTGCCACCCACAACTTTAGCAACGACAACTTGATCGGAAAGGGTGGGTTCGGGAACGTCTATAAAGGAGAAATCTCTCTCTCAAAGGGGCCAAGCGTGGTTGCTTTTAAGCGTCTAGGTCTACATGGTCTGCAAGGAAACTCTGAGTTCTGGAGGGAGATTATGATGCTTTCCAGTTACTCCCACGAAAATCTTGTATCTCTCTTGGGATATTGCAACGAGGGTGATGAGAAAATCCTTGTGTATGAGTATGCATCTCGTGGAAGCCTTGATCGCCATTTAAGTGCCGATGCTCTCACATGGATGCAACGCCTCAAGATATGTCTTGGGGTCGCAAGGGGACTCAACTACCTTCATGATCCCGTGGGGACACAACAAAGAGTTCTTCATCGTGACATAAAAAGCGCCAACATCTTATTAGATGAGAATTGGAATGCTAAAATTTCTGACCTAGGGTTGTCAAAAATAGGCCCGGCTAATCAGAAACATACATTTCGTTTCTCTAATGTTGTAGGTACCCCTGGGTACATAGATCCCCTGTATCTGGAGATGGGCGTGCTAACAAAAGAGTCAGATGTATACTCTCTTGGGGTTGTATTTTTCGAGGTATTGTGTGCTAGATTATGCTATAAATATAGCAATGGTCAATATCAGAGTCTAGTGCGTATGTGGAAGAAAAGCTACAAAGAAAAGAAATTAGATGACATCATATCTCGAGATCTGTTGCAGCAAATGGATTTGAATTCCTTGGAAACATTTTCAGACATTGCATACCAATGCTTGCAGAAAACTCATACAGAACGACCACTAATGGCTGATGTCGTGGGAAAACTTCAGATTGCACTTAAATCTCAGGAGATTCATGAAGTGGTGAAATTGGTAGAGGCAGAAAAGTATGAAGCGATAATTAAGAGTGCAATAGCTCTTCTTATCTTTAGATCCAAAGCGGAACTGCATGCGCTTCTCTCCAAAGGGATTATCGTTAATGGTGGCAAAACGGTAAATGGATATTTAACCATTTAGGTTGTGGGGCACTGATAAAGGCTTAGGGGATGTAGTGGAAAATCTCATCTACCCGGGTTCAAATCTAGGCGCTGCCAAAGGCCTTGTGGTCATCGAGGTCCACCTGCGATGACTCCACTCTAGGCCATTCGTGGTTGGTCGTCTGGTGTGCATAAGCTGCCTCAAAAACCCATGGTTACCCAAAAACAGTTTTGCAACACTAAAATCCATCCTTAATTTATTGATATTTTCCTTAATTTACGTATTTTATATGTTAGAAAAAAAAAAGAAGAGATTTTAGTGTACTCATCCAACATCAATTCAACTAATTTGAACTTTTTTAATGGATAGTGGTTTTCGCTAAATAAGAATGGAGAACATTGTGAAATGATATCATCAACAGAATTTATTCCTTGATGGGAGCATCTTCATCAACGTGAGTTTACAGAGGATTCAAGGTGACATGTCATCCCTCTTATTTTTATGTATTTGATAATTTAGTAAAATGAAGGTTTTGTTCTATATATATGGCTCAAATATATTCTTTATAATGTTCTTTGAAATAGAGAAAACATGAAAATTCTATAAGTTTAGAGAATTCTCTAAAACATAATCATTTCATTCAATTCCACCGATGAGATTGATCGTTATTATTTTATATACAGTTTTTTAAAGGTGTATCAAGATGATAAATTAAAAAAAAATTACAAAAAAACCTGTTTGAGATGCTAATCCATGTTGCTTCTTCATGTAGATTTCCGGAGTTCAATTTAGTACCACTTGGTGGGGAGTTCGAAGCACATGTCAAACCTCAATTCTTATCACCAGGAATCCAATACACGATTAACTTGGTGTTCAAACTCAAAAACCGAAATGGGAACTCAAACGGACCTATGTATTTAGTTCTCGATTACATACTGAAAGGGGAGACAAAATATTCAACTGCATACCTTGCACATGAGAGAAAAGATAGATGGATGACGGTTGAATTGTATCAGTTTACTAGCCACGAAAGAGATTTTGACCTCGAAATTCTGTTTGGTGGCACTCAAAATCATTTTGACGCCCTCGTGGTAGAAGGCATTGAGTTTCGGCCCTCAAAGAGAGTAAGTTGGCAAATACTCGTTTATACGTTTGCATCATTTTTCTTTAAGTTGTTTTTAATCTTTCTTTGACACACCAACATTTTATTATATAGAAAAATGGGTCGGGTATGTGAGAAATCATCTCATAATAACTTTTCTGAAACTATATTTTGACCCTTTACCGCTTGGATTACACGAAATTTGTTCGAAGATAATATGCGCAAGGTTATAGTTAGGGGTTGTTTATCAAATACTTACTAGCAAGCAATTCTAATGGTCGGGAATATTACCCCATAAGGTATGTAAAGGTAATGAATCTTGCTGCTAAGTATTTGGTAAACAGCTCCTTGGCTTATATGAACATACATTCCGCATATCCTAAACTATAATTTAGCTTAATTATCAACAAATTAATTCTCTTAATATGTAACAATCTGAAAATCACCACAAATTTTTTAAAAGAGAACCTATATGTTGTACTGGGTAAGACTCTTGACCCTTGTCACCGCTCTTAGCGGGTAAGATTCTCGGTCCTTGTCATGTTCATCCTGTAAGGTAAAAGAACCCGGTAAGTGTTTATCATGTAAGCGTTTAGTAAACGACCTCTTATATATATTGCTTGTTTAATAGGTGGCGTCAGAGGTTGAGGAGGTGGATATACAACCTATATCTGATTTAGATACATATTGGGAAAGAAAATTGCCAGAAGATCATAAAGAAATAATCAAGTGGTCAAAAGATASTATCGAATGGACAACGAAGAAAGAACTCTATTTTCTTTTTTGTAAAGGCTTCCTGATCAATAATGGTGAAGAGGTATATTTKATACGAATGATTAATTACGAACATAAGCGTTCGAGAGTTGCTATAAATAAATGTACTTACATGTTTATTGATTAACAGTGGTTTTTTCTAGCCAAAAATGGAAAGAAATGTCTTTTCCTACCAGCAAGAGCGCTTTTAGACACAAGCAAATGGACATTTCAATCTTTACCCAACTTAAGGTTCTTTCTCCATCTCCTAACATGGTTTTTTTTACGTGTCTGTGTCTTCCATATATTTGCAACATGCGCAAACAAATTTGACCAAAACTAAATTGGGTTTATAGGATTCCATCAATTTCTAAGCATCATAATAGACTATTTTATAAGACTCGGTTTATACGACCAAATTAAAGTGTCCTAAAACACTTGTTATGTAAACTTATTACAGCTTATACATCAGGCGGTTTAATTTTTGGTTCTATAAACTAAGTCTTATAGAATAATCTATTATGATGTTTAGAGTCCTATAAACCCAACTTTTTTGTAGTGTTAACAATGTTTTTAATTGAGTTAAGCAAGCATCCATGCTGAGTTAGGCATCAAACATATACAGGTATATCTGCAACCACCTGTTTTGGATGTTCATTCATTTGTAAAATCAACTCACTTGTGTTTAAAGTTTGAAGCATTAATTATGGTAATTCTAACACTTGTATTACATGCAATATGCTTTATATTTTTTGCAGGTTTGAAGAAGTGGCTCTTGATTGTGTTAATAGTCATTTTACTATTCGTGGCGAATTCAAATTTCAAACGCTATCACCTGGATCAACATATACATGTAACTTTGTCTACAAAATAACAGGAGACTTGGACGAATTCGAGGAGCCTGTTAAAGTGAGAAATTGGAATCTTCCTTTTCCCGATTCAGATGGAATTCATTATCGGTATATCTATTTAGTTAATCCTCAATTGCGGGTTCTTAGACCAAATGTTGATGAAAACACCGACAACCCCCCGATATTGCAAATGCCAAAAATCAAAGGCCTTCCACATCTGCGGAACGATGGTTGGATGGAAGTTCAAATATGGGAATTTGAAACATCTATTAGAGTCGACAAGTTTAACATTGACTTTAGGTTGGAAAAAGAATATCACCCATGGTTTCAGGGGATTAGTGTGCAAGGCATTGAGATAAAACCTCGAAGATTATCTTCTTTATGATTAATTGTAAACACAAATTAATAATGAATTTATTTTCATTTTGAACTCAATTTTATTTTTGAGTATTTCTGTTAACCCACTTTTTGGAATAAGCACCTTAATATTCGTAGATGGATTTATGATTATAAGCTTAACAAAAAAATAAAAAAAAAAAAATAAATAAAAAAAAATATATATATATATATATATATATATATATATATATATATATATATAAAGAGAGAGAGAGAGACCTATGATCATTTGAGATAACCAAAGTAAAACTAAATATTTACAAGGAAAAACATTATGAAGGTAATCTTCACTGTGTTTTTCCTATGAAGATTCGGAGTTTTTTTTTACCTTCACAATATTTTAGTATGAAGTTACAAGGGTTATTTTGTAGTCTCACACGTCTCATGAAAAATAGGTTGGTCTCACGTGAACCTAACCCTATATATATATATATATATATATATATATATATATATATATGTAGAGAGAGAGAGAGAAGCGTTCAAATAAAACCACTCAATTTGTAAAAACCGTGAAAACCTCATTCAACCAATCATAATTTTTCATTTTATTTATTTTTTTGTAATTATAAGAGGTTTATTAACCATATTTATTGTGGAGGGTGTTAATCATGGATATTATCATCTTCATTATTTTAATTTTAGAGAACTACATGAAACAGTTTCATTAAAATTTCATAACCATATATGAAACAAATTCATCAAAAAAGTATTATATGAAACAATTTCACAAGATTAAACAATTTCATGAAAAAAATTCATAAGATTAAACAATGAAATCGACGTATGAGGGTGGTTTGTACGGTTTTTACAAATAAGGGTGGTTTTCATTTGATCGCTCCTCTCTCTCTCTCTCTATATATATATATAATGAATATATATGTTTAGGTGAAGGATCATGTGAGAACGAGAGTTAATGTAAGAAACGTAATAAGGGATCTAAACCCTTGATCATCTTTAATCTCAAACCCACCCATGAAGCCTTTTGATCAGAGGATTGATCGATTAATCTAGTGCATCTCGGCTCATTTCATTGCACAAAGATTAAGATCTCTTCTTATGTTTCTCATCTTAACTCCCGTTTTTACCGAAATCCATCTCCCTTTCCATATATATATATATATATATATATATATATGTGTGTGTGTGTGTGTAATATTCAAAAAAAGGTTTAAAAAGCATAAGGCATCAAGGAAACAAAAACTTGCTACAAATTCTTATCAACAAATTAATAGAGAAGAAAAAGGTGAAAAAATGACTATTTTGCTCTTTATATTTAGGTTCACTGAGATATGCGAAAAATCATGTGAAAATAAAAGGATAATTGAGAATGTAAGGAGTGATATGGACGTTTGATCACCTTAATCCCAAATTCATCCATGAATCGTGTTCAATATGGGGATTGATCTTGGTGCATCTCACCTTAGCGCACCACATCATAATATGTATCCAAAGGTGGAGATCTTTTCTCATGCTTCTCATTTTAACTATTTTTCTCACAAGAATCCAACCCTCCTAAAAATTTTAATTGAATAAGATGTTAATTCGAATGGTGTATATTAGAGTTGTTCACATTTAGGCAAGGTATTGGAGACAAATCCTCTCCTTAATTAGTTTATTTGATTAGTCAAATTAGTTGTAAKTTACCTTGTATAATTCCTATAATTACGTTGTATTTTTGTATTTATACTCCTTCAATTGTCAATAATAATCAAGGGGAATATTTCTCTTAATTTCATA